AAAGAACGGAAGGTAAATCTCTTGGTCTGAAGAGCCATGCAAAGCAGGTGCCATCGAGGTGGCCCTCATCTTCTTGTCTTCTTATCATATTGCCTCGTTATCTTTTCCGTCCCTCTCTCCCTCTCTCCCCCTCTCCCTCTGTTTCTCTCCCTCTCTCCCCCTCTCCCTCTGTTTCTCTCCCTCTCTCCCCTTCTCTCTCTCCAACACTTCCTTCTCATCGCGACGAGGGAGAGGAAATGAAGCGGAAGAATGAAGGCTGACATCAAGGATGAAGTTGAACCGGCGCTACCTTCCGCTCCCTCTCCCTCTCCTTCTCCCTCTCCTTCTCCCTCTCCTTCTCCCTCTCCCTCTGCCTATCTCCAGGAGGGCCCGCCCTTTTTTCAGTTGGCGGCAAGTGTGGTTTTCATCTATTCCATAGAATCTAGCACGGCGATCTTGCATCAATTCAATCAGTCCATCGATCCATCCATCTATCCATCCATCCATCCATCCATCCATCCATCCACCCATCAATCAATGGGGTCAAAAGTTTCTGGAAGAGAACAAATTATTATTATTATTATTGAGTAATTTATGAATTGACTGTTTGACTGGTTCGTTGAAAGCCTCCAGAAGAGAGCGAATTATATTGATTAATTTCTGAATAGACTCACCGATGGACTTATAAAAGTGATCCGATTGAGTGCAAGACTCGAATAGATTGATTGATTCATGCATTGATTGATCGGTTGATTCGTTGGCTGACGGGGAGGATTGATGGATTGATTTGATTAATTGCGTGATAAATACAGTTGTGAATCGCTCAAACCGTTAGTCGACTACCGTCTTCCCCCGAACATAACGCAACCTAAAAATGAATGTATACAAGCTATACTCCCGGCCAGATACAGCCAAAATAAGGGTGCATTGTGTTCGGGGGAAGACGGTAGCACTTGTCCGGCCTTCAACCGCGATCAAACAATCAATCGACTGAATGACAATTACAAGGAAGGATTGGTCGAGTGATGGGGAGTTTCACAGCCGCTGATCTACTGACTGATTGATCGCCTGAGTAGCAGATGGCAGCGACAAGGACAACGGCGATGACCATGGCAGCGAAAGGACAACGGCGATGGCCATGGCATCGACCAGGACGACGGAAACGAAGAGGAAGAAGAGGAGTAGGGAAGGCGGCAGCAGCAGGAGCAGAGGAGCAAATAAGAAGAAGCGAAGGAAGAAGAAGACTCGTCAGGAATGGGAGAGGAGAAGGAGGGAACAAGAAGAAGTACACGCCGATCTGTCCATCTCTCCATCGATCCATCCACCCATCATCAATCGATCGATGGTTCGGTAAATTCATCATCGGTCGATCGATGGATGATTGATTCGATCGACCGAACCATCCATCGACCGATGGTTTGATCGATCGATCTATCGGTGATTCGATCGATCGATGGTTTGGTCGATCTATTGGTGATGGTTTGATTGATTGATTGATGGATATTGGTGATGGTTTGATTGATTGATTGATGGAAGAGCTTCGGCCAGCTTGAGACACACAAGTATGGTTGTGTACGATGACATATGTGCAGTGAAAGACTCTGGAGGGAAACTGAGTGTACGATGACAAGTATGGTTGTGTACGATCTTGACGGTCAGAAAGATGTTGAAGAAGGGAAGAGGAGGGAGGAGGAGGAGGATGACGACGAATGACCGGAGGAGGTGGAGGAAGAATGGGAGGAGGAGGAGCAGGAGGAATGAGAGGAGGAGGAGGAGATTGAGAAGAGGAGAAGAGATATGAAATATATATAAGGCAAGAGGTTCTGAACAGGGGGAGTTGAAGGAAGAAGATGAAAAATGAATTGATTTTTTTTTTTCTTTTTTTTTTTTTGTTTCCTTTGTTTTTTTTAGCTTTTGCGCTCTGATATCTATGTGACGATATATAAGGGAAGGATTGAAAAGTTTTGTGTGGGAAAATGGCAGTGATGATCCGAATAACTGCTGCAGCACTACTGCCAAAGCCCCCAACCTCTCTTCTTTGTCGGAGATCAATGTTGCAGGGAAATCAGAGACGCTCTCCCTTCGCCGCCTCTGGTGCCTTCGATTGACTCAAGCCCCTTCTCCCCTACCACGAGCTCTGTTCCTCTCCCTCTCTGCCGTGTTTTCCTTTTCCTCCTGTCTCCCTCCCCACCGCTATACCCTCTCCTTCAACTCTCTTCCCCCTCCCCTTCCCTTTCTTGGTAGTCACTATTTTTTTTTTTTTTTTTTTTAAATTAAGACTCTGTCGGTTCTAGTAGGAAGGATGATAAACGCGTCCCCTTCCTACTTGGTCACTTACTAACACCTCTGCACCGCGGCCTTTTTTTTGAACTGTGTATGCTTGCCCGGTTGTTGGTTTGAGCAAGCGGACTGCTTTTGTCGGCAGCATTGCGTGTAAGAACATGGGCGAAGAGCTAACAGTCATTTCTTTTCTTTTCTTTTTTTTTTTTCTTTTTTTTTTTTTTTTTAAAAGAAAACAGGGCCTTATGGTCCTGGCTCCGTCTATTCTGGGGAGCGTCAGTCCGGTTCCTAGCTAACAGTCATTTCTTTGAAACGGGGATTTTATATTTTTTGAACGAAATTGAACCCTCCTTAATTAGCCCCCCAAAACTGCCCGAAATTCTCCCCAGAGGGACCTCCGTGGATGGATCTGGACTACAGCAAATTTTGGGTAGTTTGGGGGGGCTAATGAAGGAGGGTTCAATTTCGTTCAAAAAATATAAAATTAATAATCCCCGTTTCAAAGAAATGGCTGTCAGCTGGACGTCAGGTTGAGCTACGGTCGGGGTACAGGGCCCTCCTTCCGGAAAAAAAAAGGAAAAAAAAAGGAAAAAAAAAAAGAAAACAATATCAGGGTGCGTTCTGTTCGAGGGAAGTCTGTAGGCAGGCTGGAAATTTGTGGGCCGTCGTAGGGCAGTGGTGGTTTCATGTCCGCTACCCGTCGTCCCCCCAGTAGAACGGACGGTCACCTCGGCTTTATACGTAGGTGCATCTAGACTGAATGTTGCCCCGAATACAGCGCGCGCTCTATTCGGGGGAAGACGGTTGCCCTGTCCACCGTTGTCGTGTGTGAAGCTCTTCTTCTGAATGCCTTCTTCTCTTTAATCAATCTACCTTTTCTACAAATAGGTGTGCCGCGATGGGACCTGTTTGCTAATTTGATCATTTGTCCTCTATTGTTGTTGCTATTGCTGGCTCTTGTCAGGTTGCCCACCCCCCTCCCCTCCTCCTTCAGCGCTGGTGTGGTAAGCAGTGAAGGTCATGCAGGGAAGGGAAATGTTCCCTTCTTTTTGTTATCTCCACAAGTAGCAAAGCGTTTCAGTCAAGGACACGTGGAGGAGGAGGAGGAGGAGGAAGAGGATTCGATCTTGTGATCTGTCGTATGCGCATGTGGTTTTGTGCATCCTGGCTATGGAGAGGAGGAGATGGCAAATTTTGCTGCCTCGGGCTGCCCATTGAGAGCGGCAGATATTATTTGCTATTGTAAAGTTGTGCATAGTGTGTGGGCATTTGCTGTATGGACATCATGTTGTCATGCTGCTGCATGCAGTGATGTGCTTCTTGAGCACTGAAGAAAACACTCCAAGGGTGTGAACAATTTTGGACCTGGGAAGCTGAACCGAATAGCTGTCTGTGCTCTTGAAAACTCCCAGGAAAAAAAAAAAAAAAAAAAAAAAAAAAAAAAAAAAAAAAAGCACTTTCGGCGTGTGTGGAAACCGCCGTTGGACCTGGGAAGTGGAAACGGATATAGCAAGAAAGATGCAGATCTTCGTACGGGAGCCTTGGAGTGGGAGAAGCATGCTGCTGCCCGTGGATGAGAGGCTAACGGTCAGGTTGCTTAAGCGGAAGGCAATGGCAATGGCAGCAGCACTGGCCGGCACTGCTGGTGCTCCTCCGGGAACCCCCTTTCCTACTCCCCAGAGCGGTGCAGAATGTCTTCTTCTTGAAGATGACGTCTCCCTTTTTTATGGGGGCAAGCGGCTGCAGGAGGAGCTGCTGCTTCTCCGGGGCGGCCTCCTCCTCCTTGGGAACCTGAGCACAGTCGAGCTGCGGCTTCCACTGCGAGGCGGCGGCGGAGATGGGGGTGCCACCGGCGCGGAGTCGCGCGACTGCTATCTGAAGATGTACGCTGAGAAGAAACCGGATAAGGTGGACCCCAAGGATGCACGGCTGGCCAAATGGTCGCGTTGCTGTCTGACGTCGGAAGGCTTGCAGCCGCCGTGCGCCATCGACTACCTTGGGAACCTGTTCAACAAGGAGAACGTCGTGCGCGGTCTTGTGGAGAAATCCCTCCCAAGCGCCCTTGGGCACGTTCAGAGTCTGAAGGACATCATCACCCTTCAGCTCACAGAAAACCACAGCAATGTAGGAGGAAGGGAGATGGTGGAAAACCGGTCTTTTTGCTGTCCCATCTCTGGGGTCGATTTCAATGGAATGTTTAAGTTTGTGGCACTCGCCGCATGTGGACATGCGCTAAGCTCCCGTGCTCTGAAGGAGCTCAAGGCCACAGCCTGTCCAGTCTGCTCAAAGCCCTTTGAAGAGACAGATCAGATCGTAATCAACGGTAGTGAGGAGGAGGTCCGAGTGCTGAGGGACAGGCTTCAGGAACGGAAGGAGAGGATGAAGATGGCTAAGAAGGAGAACAAGAAGAAGAGGAGAGAGGGTAGGGAAGAAAGGGAAGAAGCCACAACTCTCGGTGACAAGGACAGAGGAGGAGATGCACAAAGCCGCAAGATGGAAGACAAGGCACGGACAGACCACAATGACAGGACTCTGCTTAGGCTGAGGAAGAATTATGATGGTGCACCTGCTGCTTCTGCCGCTGCTACTGCTTCTGCTGCTTCTGCTGCTTCTGCTGCTGCTGCTGCTGTCAGTGGAGGAGGCCTTGCAAAGGGGAAAGTGGGAAGCAGAGGGGAGCGAGAGAGAGGTAAAGGGGTGGAAATCGCACCTGCTGCCAAGCGGTTTAAAGCTGTCGATAATTTGCCGCAGCATGCAACGAAGGAGGTGTATGCTTCAATCTTTAATTCATCGGTTAGACCGGATGCCGTGGCTGAGACTTATTCCTGCAGATCACTGCCAATTGGCAGGAACTGAAGAAAGGACCTCCTCAGGAAGGCCTGGGGTCCTATGTCTACTCTTTGTGTTGCTCTTGTAAATAATTTTCACCCCACATGAAGTCTCCCATTCTCGTCCGCTCTTTTATCCTTCCTAGCAATGTATTGAATTTGTATTCCTTCATTGCTTCAGGGCCTGCTAGGATCAGCCCACCCTCCAAGCCCGCAGAGTCTGCTTGTTTGCTTTGTACTACTATCGTTTCGCTCTCTCATTGCTCTCTCTCTTTGCTGTTGCCTGGCCCGGGTTTCCCTCTCTTTGTTTCTCTTCGCAATTTTTTTATTATTATCTTCCGCTGCTCTCTCTCTCTCTCTCTCTCTCTCTCTCTCTCTCTCTCTCTCTCTCTCTCTCTCTCTCTCTCTCTCTCTCTCTCTCTCTCTCATTTGAACTGTCGATTTGCTTTCTTGTTGTCTGTGCGGCATCGGAATAAACATTTCTTCATGTCCGTGAACTGTGCACACACTGTTCTCTCTTTTTCTCCGAACACTTGTGTTTTTTCCATTTCATGTTGAAAGTTGTTTTTTTTTTTAAGTTGTTTTTTTCATCCATGTTGCATGTGACAGATGGAGTGAGAGAAAAAAAAAAGGTTCTTAGTCTTCGTTGCCATTGCACGAATCTGTCGTACGGGTATGTTATCTAGTCCACAAAAGATCTTAACAGCTGAACTTATTTATCTCATCGGATGTGTGGGAAACTCTTCCCGAGTCAAAACCCTGTCATCCAGTTGCTGTTTGCCACTCAGCTTTTCCCTCACAACCCTTCCCCACCCCCAACCCCAATCCCCCACCAAAACTGGTAGTAGGAGACGCAACCCACCACCTTGTGCCACGTTCCTCCTTACATTCCCCCCATACGAGCTTCTCGACCTCTTCTGACATCCTATTAGCATTCTAATAATGGACTAGCTTTCTCTGCTTTTTTTTTTTGGAAAAAGAGAGGAGTTGAGGCCCTTCCATTGTTGTTCAAATGAGGCGGGAAATTTCGAAATTCCTCACAAACAACCCGGAACGACTGGGAACCAGTAAGTCGAGAGACTTACTTGGACCATTACCCAGCTTCGGTGAAGTGGGCTTTTTTTTTCTTTCACGTTTTTACGGTCGCCAATTGCGAGGATTGAGCCCTCACGGGACCCATACAGACATCCAAGTGTTTCGGGCTGTGGCGCCCAGCAAGCATTGTGGCCGCCCTAAGTGAAGGCGGGCCTGAATATCCATGTGAGGCCTTTGCTCGACATTTTTCCGTACATGGGGTATCAGACAGTTGCAGCACGCCAGTTGGTTACAAAGCAACGTGAGCCTTTGCTGGCTCTTTCCAGAAGCAAGAGCTGCGCTGCACAGTTGAGCCCAGGGCCCTGGTTGGTTGCGCCGTGGGCACACACATTGGGAGGCCGACACATCACACACTGCCCGCGGAGGACTGAGAAAGCAGCGTAGTCGCCACACAACCTCCACGGGCCAATGAGAATGCAGCAAACACTTGGAGCCTGGACGGCTGCTGCCTGGACATGCCCAGCTGTAAAGGGCCCAGGCCCGTAACAGCAGAGGTGGGCCTGGGCGCAGATACTGGGGTCTGACTGGAGGCTACTGGAAACTTCCCCAGCCAGGCCTACGCAGCCAGACACAGGGCCACACTCTCCATAAAGGAAAGTGCCCTGCCCAGGCAAGGGCATTCTGGCCTTGGCAGGCAATGCGGACACGCTGCTGCGTTGCTGCGCTAGTGTCTGCATGTGCACTACTGGTCGGGCGCGCGCACGGGTGCAGTGGGGAGAGGGGCGCTGTTGAGGCAGCGGGCGCACAGCAGCCATAGCCGGGCAGCTGGGACGCAGGCAGGTGATGGACATGTTGGTCTTCGGGTAGGAGGCGCTTGAGGTGGGGAGATGAGGGGGTGATGAGGGGGTGATGAGGGGAGAAGAGAAAATGTACCTGGTGTATGCTGGCAGTCGGCATTGATGATGTGTAGATTGGTCTTCGACTTCGGTGTGATCCAGTTGCACGAACGTAGATAGGTGTAGATAGGCTGAGTAGAAGTAGGCTGGGCGCTGGGCGCCATACAGTAGGAGCGACATTGGATACTGTGTTGGTGTGGCCAGAGAGCGTCAACATTGGCATATGAGTTCCTTGTATTGTTCTTATTCGGATGGAATCTTGGTGCATTCTGCTCTCTGCTTGGTACATGACTATCTGGGCTACTTCATGATTTTGCAACTTGGATTTCTGTCTATCGCTCTCGCTCATATTCCTCGCATAACCTTGCAAAAGCCGTGAGAACCTTGTATCGTTCCGTGTACTACCATTACTCTCAGGTCATGCTCACGCTACACCTTTTTTGACTTGGCTCGGGGAAAAATTTTGGTCAAATGAATACATCCTGGAGTGTGATGCCCTCAATCATCTCCCCAGGGTCACAAACTCCAATGGCCATAACCTCCTCTTGTGGGAGCTGTAAAAGCACACAGGACATAGGACATATGATGCCCCTGTGAGGGCTTGGATGGGTGCTACACGCACAGTCAAATTGTAGGTCCGGTTCTGTCTGGGCAAGCTGAAAGAAGGATTTTGAACGGGCACACTCGAATTGTAGGTTAGGTTCTGTGTCTGGGCAAACTGAAGGGCGGATGCTGCGGGGAAATCATGTAATGTATGTTGCGATAGAAAGTTCATGTTGTCCAACATGCAACAGACTCCCTACTACATTTAGAAGGTAGTAAAAGGTGGTCTGCCAGTGGGAGGTCAAATGACTTGTGTATGAAGAGACAGCTGCCGTACCCCGTGTGTATCTTCTTTTTTCCCGTTTTTGTCTTATGTTGTTGTGTTCGTCCTGTTGTTTTTCATTTCTGTCCTGGAGGGAGAAAAGCTCAGAAAACTGAAGCTCTCTTTCGCCTGTTCCCTCGTTCTTTTCTCTTTCTTTGTGTGTTGTCATGTTCGCTATCCGCAACTTCGCAAAGATAACTCTGACTGTGCCGGACTGTTTCGTTGGAGTTTCACGCACGCATCTCCTGTTTCTCTTTTCTCTCTTTGTGTGTGTGGGGGGGGGGGGGGCAGAAGGGGGRGGGTGSGGAAGAGGGGGATGTTTTCTTTTATTTTTTGCTTTTGTTTTCCCTTGCATTCCCACATAACCAAGATGCAGTTAATTGCTTCAGGAAAGTAGAGAAGAGCCAGGGAAAGATTACACCTGTGCTGTGATGCCCTTAAACCACTAGTACATGGACCCAGCCAAGCTGAGAATCCGATTGAGCCTCCTCTAAAATTTTGGAGGCTTGCGCGCTGTTGATAAAATACATCAGCGTCGGGCAGCCTCTGAAAGGGACCCGCGGCCGATGGCTGGCATGTACTGGTCCTGGAAAAAAAAAGGAAAAGAAGCTGCTCATCCGCGAACACAGTCCCACCGGAAATTGATTGTTGAGGAGGAACAAAAGCGACCCTGAGAACAGCCCGAGAGGGAAGGTATATGTATCTCCGTCGAAATTCAGTTGATAGCAGGGCTGTAAACCCGGTCCCACCGGGGGGTCCACCCCCAACCGAAACCGGGCCGGTGGGACCGGTCAGTCCACCGGGCCGGTTACCCCCCCGGTCGGTTACAGCGCATCGCCAAAAAATGGCGGAATCAATTTTTTTTCGGGCCAGGAGGCCCGCACGCGGGCTGTGGGGGCCTCCTGGCCCTGAAAAAAATCAAAACCTGTCCGGTAGGGCAGTCTCCAAGTTTGGGAAAGGGCTGCCTCTCTGGACTGCTGATCTCGAAAGATTGGCAGCCCAGATGAGGCCTCCCTTTTCGAAACTTGGAGGAGGCCTCCCGCCTTCGACTCCCCGCCTCCCCCCGACTCACCACCCGTCCCGTCAAGAAGCCAACGCCCCCGCTGTTGTCGCCCGTCGCCATCGTCATCGCCGTCGTCCTCGTCATCATCGTGCAGCGAAGCCATCCCCCCCGCCCGCCAGCGCGCCACAGATACGTTTTCTTCTTCTTCTTCTTCTTCTTCTTCTTCTTCTTCTTCTTCTCCTTGCGTGTATGGAAGTGTAGGCGCGCGAGTAGGCACTCGGTACACACACACACACAGAGTAGGCGCATGGTAGAGAGAGAGAGAGAGAGAGAGAGAGAGAGAGAGTAGGCGCGTGGTAGAGAGAGAGAGAGCGAGAGAGAGAGAGAGAGAGAGAGAGAGAGAGAACAGTTCGCAAAACTGTTCCCACACTGGCTCAGCCAAAAAAGCCCCAGCCCCCTACCTTCGTCTTCTTCTTCTTCTTCTTCTCGAGTCTCCTCCCCCCTCCTTCATCTTCTTTATCCATGTCTTCTTCTTCTTCTTCTTCTCCTCTTCTTCTTCTTCTTCTTCTTCTTCTTCTTCTTCTTCCTCTTCTTCTCCTTCTCCTTCTTCTTCTTCTGCAGGTACGTGTCTGTCAACGTTTGCAGAAAGCCAGATACGTTGTTAATGAAGCCCGTGTTTGCTGAAACCACACCGCAACAACCCACTAACCCCCGACCCCCAATCCATGAAACACCCCCCCCCCTCCTCTCCAAGTTCAAAGTTTTTTAACCAGATTCGGGAGATCTTGGCGAGCGCAGTCCAACTATGTTTTCAAAAAAAAAAAAAAAAAAAAAAAAAAGACCCCCTTTTGGGATCAACCGGAATTCCGGTTGGACCAGTCTGGTCCAACAGGCCGGTTGCCGACACAGCCCTGGTTAATAGAGCCCCATCTCAGCATAATGTCCAGATGCAGTCATATCAACTGGATTCAGTTGATGCATCTAACTACACATATTGACGTTGTGCGGATATCCTACATGCTGTGTAGAAGAACTTATTCAGAAACGAGGTAACAAATCTCCTCTATTTTTGGTTAGTCATATCAGCAGAACCCACCAGGTTGGCCTGTGAGGGAGCTGCGGTAGAGAATAAGATAACGGTCTCGGGCGATCACGGCGATACAATTTTGCCTCGGTTGCTGCGACCTCTATCCAAGGCCTGTGAGGGAGTTGGGACCATTGGATTAAGTGAGAATAAGATAACGGTCCCATGCGATCACGGCGATACAATTTTGTGAGTGGAAATTAACCTTTTTTTTTTTTGTTGTCCTTTCAGATTTTATTTCTCCTTTGTCACTTCGCGGGGGAACGAACGGTTCAGTTTTGAATTTTGATTACAAATGGGTGGCTTAGACTGCCCGACCCCTAATGCTTTAGTTACCGCGGGTTTAAACCACCAGTACCTACCGGTTGTTAAGGCCCGTGGCTCAGGCTATTGGTAGCCCGGTCATTTTCGAGCCTCGGACAACCGGTAGGACACAACGAAAAAAAAAACATACAGCGTTCTGGAAAAAAAAAAAAAAAAAAAAAAACACGAAATCAGACCTTTCCGACAAGAATGAATCTTCCTTGATAAAGAGGAAGATTCATTATCATGAGAGAGAGAGAGAGGGCGTCAGACACTG